TGGTTTTATCTTCTAAAAACCAGAGTAATTTTAGTCTTCTAGTATTTTCCTTTTGACAATGTTGGCACTGAAGTCAAGTAGTATGCCCTCTCTTAGATAAGATCACTCAGATTCTACTTATATTAGAAATGTTTATTTAGAGCAGGGGTGTCAAACTCATTTTAGTTCAGGGGCCACATACAGCATAATTAGATGTCAAGTGGGCCGGTCTAGTAAAACCATAGCATAAGTACCGGTACCTATAAATAACAATAAGTCCATGTTTTTCCCTTTGTTTTCGTGCAAAGAAGTACAATACATTAGGAAAATCTTCATATTTAATGAAATATCCTTTTACAAAACATGAACAACCTCAGATTCTTGTGCAGTTAGCTTCTGATTATCATTTACATGTGTGCATTAAAACTGGACAAAGTGTTTGTACAAATGCAAAAAACTTTAAGTCACTGGTATTTGGAACTGAAAAATGTAGTATTGCACTCCATTTTTCTTGGAAAACTCTACACTCTGTATCCACTTTTCTCCTTTTTGACAAATATATTTTGGCTTATGAGGGTGTGGGGGCAAGTAGCAAATAGGTTAGACTACACCGTAACAACCTCCCTGTGCTGCGGGGGTTTCCTCCAGGTGCTCCGGTTTCCTCCCACAGTCCAAAGACATGCATGGTAGGCTGATTGTCGTGTCTAAAGTGTCCGTAGTGTATGAAGGGGTGTGTGAGTGTGTATGTGATTGTGCCCTGCGATGGACTGGCACCCTGTCCAGAGTGTACCCTGCCTTGTGCCCGATGCTTGCTGGGATAGGCTCCAGGTTCCCCCGCGACCCTGAAAAGGAGTAAGCGGTAGAAGATGGATTGATGGATGGATGGACAGAAGGTGCATTGCTGCCATCTGCTGTTCGGTCTGAGTCCCAGAGTTGTGCTGCCTCTTCTACTCTGACTAAAACAGTGCGCCCCTAGCGGGTAATTTAGAGATAGCATTTTATTAAAAAAATTTCTAGATCGTGTGTTTTATGCATATTGTTAATTTTCAAAATTCATCCTGCAGTCCGTATTGAACCCCCCTTTTAGAGTAACAATAAATAAAGTTTCCGAGCTACTTACATATTTAAATATGGCACCACATTTTGCATAAATATACTTTTTTGACATATGCATCTCAACACTCAATTATTACATTGAAATAATGCTTACTAATCTAGAAAATATAGGCAGGCTACTGGTAGTCAAAACAGACCTTTCTGTAGGCTACACTAACCTTAATAGGAAAACTGGATAGTGTTAATACGTTAAATGTGAAGTGTTTAAATGTGGAACTGCTCATTACCCACAGTTAAACATTCCTGTAGTACCTGCAGTTTTAAGTTGCACAGAAACAGCAATGCACAAGCCAAGTAAAGTGGTAGGCAATAAGATAAAGCACAGTTGTAATAAGATGAAAAGATTTCCAATACCATTTTCAGTGACCTTTATTTAATAGAGTGTAAATCCAAGCCGGGTCAGTGATATGTTGCAAACTGGTGTAAACTGCACCTTTAAATGGTTTGTTTTATAGGGAGTTTGTTTTTAGTTGTACTTCGAATGTAGTGATTAATGAACTCTTTTGGGCCATATGAACTGTTTGGGGATTCCATTTCAAGTATCTAATTTACTAAATTGTACACCGGACAAGGCAGAACTGGCTCTCTGAAGCCAGTATGGCTTACCATAAAAATAAAATTGTTTTTGACCATTTGACCTTTAATGAACTGAATGGCTCCAGCTGTTATGAAAATACAAAACCCTCTTTGGTTCTATACAATTTCTCAATTGCAGATAATTAACCCAGATGATTAACCCAGAGCAATTTACAATTGCTGACACATTTGCAGACTCTTGTGGCTGAGGAAACTGTCACAGTATTTAACACAGAAGAAATATGCGCTCTTGGTTGTAGAAACAGATGTTACGTTGCCTGTGTAATCAGTCATATTTCTAGACTGGTTTCTATTAAAAGCATGACTGTCGACATATGTGAAAAAAATCCCTACACTCTCTTATATTTTTGGGACATGCTGAGTCTTCAAGTTGTGTGAACTAATTACTACAGCACATAAGAAGCTCTGTTTACTCTGGGGACATCTAAAGTTATGAGAACATATGTCTGAATCAGTGATTCACAAATTATAGATGTTGTGGCAGAAACGGAGTCATAATTCATCTCATATGGATGTTCCATCTGTTTTCAATCAGCATTTGAGAGTTTGGTTAAAATTGTGGGTTAATTATTATTGGAAGGTTGGAAAGTATTTCAAGACAAAATACTACCAAACTGCCACTGGCGAGTTCTTGAGCATGGTACTTAAACCTGACCTGATTCACAGGGGTATCATAAATCCTAGACACCCGAGCAGGGCCACCTCTCCACCCCATTAGTCATGAACCAATGCATCGAGACCTGACTGTCCACAGTGCAACCCAACACAAAAAGCACATCATTTGGTACATTAGAAATCCATTATGAATATTGGAGTAGCTCCAGTGATGCACAAAAGGCAGTCTTACCTTAGGCAACTGTTTTTCAGTGACAGCATGTCTTCTTTAGCCAATTCTATTTCCGATTTATTTTTTCCAGTTGATCCAGTTGCTTAATTCACTTCAAATCTATGCTCAACAAGGACCCTCTGGTCATCCAAATCAACAACTCATAGCTGAGCTGGAAATATACCTATTTTAGTTTCCACACAAAATCTCTCTTTTCCTTTCTCTCTCTCTTTCTCTCCCTCTGTACTCTTGGATGAAGTGTGTATCAGTGTCTTCTCACCTGCTCCAGCTTCCAGTGGAACTCAGCCGGCCTGAATGTGTCCATCTGCGTGAAGTCCCTCCGCAGCAAGAACACCAGACGGCAGTTGTGCACATACAGTGAGTAATGGTGTCTGTTCATCTCTGCCAATATATATGATGGGTCAAATTAATTAAAATGAATGGGAAAACCTGAATAAATAAGTTCAGAATCATAATTATTGAATGTGTACTGCATGACACAAATACGCTATTAACCTACCATGCTCTGTGGCATGTGTAGAAATGCTGAGCAGGCCAAGTTGATTAAAAATCTAATTGACTTTTCAAGGGGGATTATTATTGGAACATTATGTCAAGAGCTTCAGCCATAATGACTACACAGGTGACTATGTTTTAGTAGCAACAGTCACGAAAATCATGATAAGATTTTGATCAATGGGAAAGTCATCAGTATTAGAAATTGTGGTCGAGAGTGAATATGGGAATTTAATGGCCATGATCTAAGATATATTCCTAAGGTTACTTAGAAAGTTTATTGTTTAATATATTAACATTGTGTTGTGATTCCATAGAGATGCACATAGTTTGCCTTTGGTTCAATATATTTTGGGCATCTGTGACATGCTGATTTCTGAAATGTAGCTAAACAATAAATGCAGTGTAATAGGGACTGGTTAGCACTAATTATCAATGCTTTCATTTTTATGCGAAGCATTCCTTTCATAGGCCAACAGTAACCAGTTGTCTTTTCACTCATACCCGTCTTGTCTGAGTTACACAGCAGTGTCTCCTTCTCGCCTCTCAGTCCAGGACTTGGGCCGTGCTTCATCCATGTGGCAATGGTGAATTGTTCAGTGAGGTTCTGAGGCACCACCAGTTCTGGAATATTGGCCGCCTGCCGTCCATCGAAGTGGAAGACGAGGTCACTGTCTCGTCCACTGTCTGTCAGCAGCGAAGCTGTCCAATTTGTAGAAGCGCTTGGGGCAGGGAGAAGATCCACACTGCCTGAAGCAGCACCTGCAGAAATAACAACTGTGAGAATGGCTTTAGCTTATAAGGTGACGAAAAATCACAAACTGAACTAAACAACAAACATCAGCTCAGAACAGTGCTTTATTTTCTTCCCTTTTTTGGATGATGACAGGATAGCAAGTGTAAAATACCGGTAATAAGTGATAAGACAAGCTAGTGTCAGTAGAGCATTCTTATTCCACTTGAATAAGAAAATACTGTCTGCTATTTGTGAAACAGGAAATTCCGCCCAAAAAAAAGCAAAAAAATGACCAGAAATCTGGTTTGGAGTTAATGTCAGTGATCTGATACACTTTGATACAGTTTGGTTTCCTCGCACAAGGAACGTTGTGATGTCTGTATATGTATTAGAAGATGACTGTTTGATCATTGAAGGGTTTCCCAGGTTACCAGACAGATAGTATTACATTTAATTTCTTTGTGTTCATCTTAATCAATAATGGATGTTTCCAGTAAATGCCTGACTTCCTAATAGCAAAAATCCATTTCCTGAAATGTATAGGCTTTGAGCACTTTTCCTCGGGGCTTGATCTTCAATCAATAGCAATCATCTTTTTTTCAAACAGTTTTAAAAATTAAGTTTTGTCTGACCCAAAGTAAAATGAAAACCCATGCAACTGCTAACATGCAACTGCAGAGTAAAACACAATAGTAGTATTTAAACATGGAATTCACTGCATATGCCACTGGTCTAAAGGAAAAAAGTAATTTTGAAAAACTGTACTGCCTCTAGAAATATTTTTGTCCACCTTTTGGACACTTTTACAAATCACAGTAGCCTTCCACTTTTTAAATATTGGATATTCAAAATGAAGGCAGTGAAAACATTTTTGCATTTAGATGGCAAGATTAAAAAATGTAATTAAAATGCTTAAACCAACAAACCAGGCTTTAATAACAAACATTTGCTGCATACACATATTGCATATTTATGATAGAGTGCACCATTTATCTGCAATGGTCTGTGTCAGAGAAGAAATCTAATACTAAGGTGGTTATCAGGTATGTATGGGGAGTTTGATAGCTTCAAACATTGTGCAAGTCCTTAACTCATCTCACTTCTTTTAATCCTGCCTAAAACGATTAAGGTCTTTATAGTGCCAGGCTGAAGGATTCTTAAATGAAAATGGCGGAAGTTCAGTTCCACTGATTTTCTGTTTCAGCAAGTGAAGAGAAAATCAATAGACAAGGCAACTAGAACTCAGTCGGTAGAGCATCAGATTTTTAATCTGAGAGTCCATGGTTCAAGACATGTGGGGCTATGGTGGCTCAGTGGTTATAGGCTCTAGGTTACTGATCAGTAGGTCAGGAGTTCAAGCCCTAGCACTGCCAAGTTACCAGTGTTGTGCCCTTGGGCAAGGTCCTTAACCCTCAATTACTCCACATATTTGGACAAGCATTTGATCATCTCTGAAACAGTGGTTATTAATAAAGGTGATACACTATCAAATGACACAAAAAAGTTTGTAATAATTTTCACAATTTAAATGAACATAGAACAGATCAGTCACATGATAAAAGAAAGTACACCCCTACATTTATCACACCTTCAAATCCATAAAATTAGAATCAGGTGTTCAAGATTGGGTGCCAGTAATTAGAACCTGCTTAGGGAGTGCAGGTCTTATTTACAATCCTCTCATATCTAATGTCTGTTATTCCCTTTGCTATTGAGGTGTGTGGTGTCAACATGCCAAGATCTTAAGAGATCTGCAAGTCCTTCAGAAAAGGGTGTGGATACCTATAAGACTGGCATGGTATTTAAAAATATCTCCAAATGATTTAAAATGCATCATTCCACTGTAAGGAAAATCATCTACAAGTGGCACAAAGTCCAAGAGCTGACCGTTTGCTGCAAAATGAAGTCTCCAAGAACCCAAAATTTCATCACTGGATTCTAGTAAGTCTTGAAACTGTTGGTGTCTAAGTGCATGTTTCTACAGTCAGAAAGAGACTGCACAAATTTGACCTGCATAGGAGGCGTGCCAGGAAAAAGCCTTTGCTGTTTAAAAACAACATTTAAGCTAGACTACAGTTTGCCAATGAGCATATCGCAAAGACTTTTGGAATAATGTCCTCTGGACAGACGAATCAAAGATAGAGTTGACAGCTTTTCAAGACAGCTTTTCAGGAGAAGCACGTCATACCAACTGTGAAGCACGGTGGTGGACATGTAATGTTTTGGGTTGCTTCACTGTCTCGGACTGAACAGCTTGCATGCATTGATTCAACTATGAATTCTGCATCATATTAAAGAGTACTTGAAGATAATGTGAGGCCATCTGTCCAAAAGTTGAAGTTGAACTGAAAGTGGACCTTTCAACAGGATAATGATCCTAAACACACTAAAAAAATCCACCAAGAAGAAATGGGGTGTTATGGATTGGCCTAGTCAAAGCCCGTATTAGAATCCCATTGAAATATTGTGGAGGATTTGAAATGGGCAGTACATGCAAGAAAACCTTCAAACATCTTAAAACTGAAAGCATATTGGAAGAGTGGTCAAATATCCCAGAAAGTCTGGTGGACAATTATGCAAAACGCCTACAAGAAGTTATCTCTGCTAAAGAGGGCAATACTAGCTTCTGAGGCCAAGGTTGTTTTTACCTTTTCCACAGAAGAATATCACATCTATTGATATTTCTGTTGAATAAATTATTCAAAAAGCTATTTTTCCTTGTGGTTTTGTTTAAGTATATCAACCTCATTAGTAGGTATAGTTTCAAAGATCAAATATTTGCTTGTCCAAATATGTCAAAAAAGCCAATAATTTCCATGGAATGTACTTATTTTTTACTTGAATTATTAAAATGTATATGGGAGACTCCTGGAACTACAGTTCTGGTACACAACTCCAGTTTTATAGCAGACATTAAGTGATTAGTGTTTTCGAAAAAATATCCTGTTTTAAAAAAGTTCTCCGCTTTATAGAGGCAAGACACATGTGTTTAAAATAATTTCCAAGATAATATATATTGTGGATATATAAATATAAATTTGTTAGTTATATTTTGGTCAATTGAATGAAACATTATTAAGTAAAAACCTCAACACATATTTCTAAATGAGTATGTCCATCTGAACCCAAATTACTGGGTGTAACTGTTGTAGACACTATTTAGCATATTAATTAAGGTGTTTGCCCATATTGAATGTTTCGGATGGATGGACAAAACACTAGTGAATACAAGTGTTTATTAAGAATAGACTATGAAGAATTAAGAATAGTGTTAACTAGTTTATTAATACAACATATGGTGCATTAATATTTACTAATTTAATGTTGTGAATTGTCCCACATGGATTTTCACTTCCTAAAAATTATTTATACCAAAGACATCTTTGTTTCAGTGATTAATCCCACCTGGAGATTGAAGATTTAACTGTAATCACTCAGACTGTCCTGTGCTCATTCCCAGACTTTTATTTATAATCTACTCAACCAGAACACCATGTAAACACCTTTTAGTTTCCCTGTATGTACTCTTCTTCAACCATATACTGTAATGATTTAAAATTCCACTATATGGTGTCACCCAGAAGAAGATTGGTTCACTTTTGAATCTGGTTTCTCTCAAAGTTTTTTCCATGGGTCCTCCTTCCAGTACCAAAATTGTTGTGGAGTTGTGAGTTCTGAATAATACAATTCTCTGCTTGTCTTTTCTTTTGCCCAGAACTAGCATACTAGTAACTGCTTATTGTTGTTTCTTGACCTCATGACTCACCGCAGAGCTTCTGCAGAGATTTCTCAGAGTAGGTTTCCCTGTCACAACCCTTCCCGATGTGGCTGGTCTGCAGTTCTACCGTGACTCGCACCGAGGACAAGGGGCTGCCACACGTCTCAAGATGCATCATTGGAAACAGCTGTTTGCTGCCTGTCCCAGGCTCGTAGTCCACTTGCTTACTCCATCCTGGAGAGAAAACACATGTGTGAGAGAAAGCAAATGTGACACAGCTTTACTGGCACTCCTAGAACAACAAGTGCACACTATTAAGGTAATTCCGTTAGCTCCGTACAGACATAAATACTGCATGGCTGTTTTAACGGAAACTAGAACTTGTAACTTGATGTGTATTCTCAAGTATTTTTAAGTAATTTATGTACATGTAAAAAGAATGAGAGTGTTTGAAATTTTAAATGGCAGCTAAGTCTATTCCTCTGAATTCAGTTTTCAGCATATCTGATGAATGAGTCAGTTACAGTACAGATTTTTAATACATTTTAAATCAGGACATAATAGCATATTGGTGCAGATTTGCATGAAAATACTTATTATTCGCTCTACTACCAGGCTTGGCAACTGTGCAAGGATTCGGAAATTTATGGACGTAAGAGAAAAGCATAATAAACTTTAAACTTATATCAGTCGAATAAGAAACTTGAACGCTCATAACAAATAACGCAAAACATTGTTTGCCCTCAGTTCAGCAACTCTTACACTAATACTTTCCATTAAACCATTTATCATTTAGCCATCCTTAAGTAAAGTTGTGTGACAAAGTTTTTTGTAGGCCAACCTGAACTAAAAATTCCTGTTTTTACGAAAGCTTCAGTAACACACACAGTATATTGTATACAGTATGTTAATAAATGCCAATCACCCATAAATTACCAAGCACTTTTAAGCACAGTCGATTTATAATTTTGTCACACCCACAAAACTGACAAAGCTGAAAATGACAAATCCCACTGGCTAGACCAACACACAGACACAGACCAACTTATCCTCCTTTTATAGGATGCCATTTCTTTTGCCCTAATTGAACTATTTTATTTGTCTTTATTTAATAGATTTGTTTTGGCATGCTTTCTTTCAAGTAACTATAATTTTTCTTTGGACACATTTTTAGCAACACAATCCTAATTTATAATGGCACGACATTAGTGTCCATGTTGACATAGATGCCTTTTTTTCTCCAAAGAGAAAAAAAGAAGTGAAAGGGTTTAAAAAAAAAAATGCTTTGGATTCTTCAGAATAATAGCAATCGCTTTTCTGTTTTACCAAATCCACAAAAACACAGAGAGAAATAACAATAACTCAACCACACAATGTCCTGAGATGCGTTTTAAAATGGAACACTGTGGGTACACACTTTTTCTAGGTCTGGGAAATATCCATATAAAGCACATTATAATCGCATTTAGTGTTATAATTGATTGTCATACTGGTGACAAAACCACATAATTATTGTAGGGACAATGCTAATGGTCAGTCCCTCCAGGATTTTGCAATTGCAGAATAATATTCGCAGGAGCTTGCAATTTTTCAAAATGACCACAGATTTGGGCCAAGACGCGTCATTTGATGTCATCACAGTATGCATTCAGCCAAAACCTCTGTCGATTCATATGCATCGAACATGTGTATAGCTAAAAGGTCTCAATTTCTGACAAACATCACTGCGAAGGATCATGCAAAACAATTTAGTGCAATTGCAATTTCGCCAATTCAAGTAGTTTTCCGCAAAAAAATAAAATAAAAAAAATCCACAAATTTCATTGCAGATTTTGAAAAAAGCATACATTACTTGCATGTAGTTCAGGCCTTCAAAGTCTAATACTAGAAGTAATATATTCCTGCATGTAATTACTACAAATTTGGTTTAAATTAACAATATGGTTTCCATCCCTTATTATTCAGCAGCTTATAAAATAGCACTTGATCCAACACATCAAAACACTATTATTATTATTATTATTATTATTATTATTATTATTATTATTATTATTATTATTATTATTATTATTTTATTTTCATTATTATCTTAATTATCTTATGTTCCAACAGTTAATTATGCACACAACTGATTGAAGATATTAATTTCAGGTCATGAAATCATAATATGTACGTGGCATATTTTATCACATAAATTAACATATTAACCCTCGTCACCTTAAATGTAACTCAACTCTGAATATAGCCCTCAATTTAATCAAATAAAAATGAAGATATAATCCAACAAAATGATTCTTTGATATGCTTGTGATCATTTGGAAGAAAGGGACACTTGAGACATATGTCAAATTTTGTATTTTATTTTATATGCAAAATTAAAAGCTAATTTAATTTAAGAAACATTTGGAGACTGGACAAGCAGAGGTACTTTTCTGTGAATTTTAAACTTGAGTGAAATGTTAATCTCTCTGCATGGACAGGGTGGGCTGCAGGAGGCAGTGAAGGGATGGAGGATATAGATAGATCGATCAGTGCTGACACATGGAGATTGACCCTGGAGAGAAAGATGGGCCAGCCAATTACAG